AATAACCCTACTGTACACTTTTCCTAGTATACTCAGTACATTTATTCCCCTATAATTTTTACAATCTCTTTTCTCCCCCTTCCCTTTATATAAAGGAACTATACATGCTCTCTGCCAATCCCTAGGTACCTTCCCCTCTTTCGTACATTTATTAAACAAAAATACCAACCACTCCAACACTATATCCCCCCCTGCTTTTAACATGTCTGTCATGATCCCGTCAATTTCTGCTGCTTTACTCCCTTTCATTCTATGTAATGCCTCACGCACCTCACTCACACTTACATCCTGCTCTTCTTCACTCCTAAAAGATGGTATACCTCCCTGGCCAGTGCATGAAATAACCGCCTCCCTTTCTTCATCGACTTTTAAAAGTTCCTCAAAATATTCCCACCATCTACCCAATACCTCTATCTTCCCATTTACTAACTCCTCTACTCTGTTTTTAACTGACAAATCCATTTGTTCCCTAGACTCTTTTTTTCTCTCACTACAATTTTTTTATTTTCATCAAAAATTTTTGACAGTGCCTCAACCACTATTATTTGCTCTCCTTTTGCACTCTCTCACCACTCTCTTCACCTTTTTTACTCATCTTCATCTTTCTTTTACACTTCTGCTTTGTAAAAACCTCTCATAAGCTACCTTCATCTCTTATCACACCCTTTACTTCATCATTCCAACAATCATGCCAAATAGGTAAAATTTGTGATTTGGCTTCAGTACCCCTTAAGGGAGGTTCCTTGATGCTGGTGAAGGGCTCTTCATCTCAGGAATTGGACCTGTGCTCCAATTCCTTGAATTGACCCTGAATGCTTCGATTACCCTACTCACTCTATGACCCCTACAAGTTTAGCACTCACCCTTCACCATGTCCTTCTGGTCCTGGTGCTCTAAATCCTCCATATTTTTGCCACCAAAAATTACAGTGAGCATCAATTTTTATTTTTATTTTGGCCTGAAACTACATACATATGGCATTCCTCAAAGTTATTGTTATAAATTTATTCATAGGAAGTAATCAGCCAATAAGGTCAGGGACAGTGCTGTATGACCTTCATGGGTTTAGCACTTTAGTAGTAGTAGTAGTGGTAGTGGTGGTGGTGGTGGTGGTGGTGGTGGTGATTGTGATGATGGGGATGTGATTGATGAGCATGACTGATGGATGATGATGTCAGGGTTACAAAATATTCAGTGAAATTTTAACTTGTAATTTAGAAAGAAGTGAAAGATTTGATCAAGTATGACTAGGAATGTCAGAGTAATATATAAATGCTAGATGCTGATATTACTGATGGATGCAAATCAAAACCAATATGAACAGCATTTCATAAAACACAGAGGGGCTGCTGTTACACATAACTGGATGGTAATTTCATCAAGCAAAAAGAAAACGGCGAGTCATAAGAATATCGTATTACAAAACACTGATGGATATGGTTTTAAGTTACCAAATGTTACAATTTTTTTGAAAGGCATAGTTCCTTTTCTAAATTAAAGTGTAACATACATGTATAGTATATATTACCAGGGACAGTGAATAAAAAACAGGGTCTTCTGACAGAGAGAAATGAATGACTATGACAATACACACACAAATATGGTGCCAGTATGGAGTAGTTCAATAGTACAGTAGTTTAGAAGAGGCGGTGTATGAAACTTCTGGTAAGTGAAATATGTAGCTTGAATAAAAAATTCATTACAATACAAATAATATACTCAAGACATTTTTCACTACTTACATACCAGGCACCTAAAGTAAGTATCTTATCAGCCAGGTTGTGGTTTGTACATCGGTTAATGTGCAGCCAGCAGTAACAGCCTGGTTAATCAGACCCTGATCCACTATGAGGCTTGGTCTCAGACCAGGCAGAGAGAGCATTGACCCCTGAATCCCACTCCAGGTATACCTGGAGGGCCTCACCAGGCATCAAAAGGATGAGGCCATGATCAACCAGACTGTTACTGCTGGCCACACACAAACCGGCGTACGAACCACAGCCTCGTTGGTCGGGAACCGACTTTAGGTGCCTGTCTAGTTCCCTCCTGAAGACAGCTAGGGGTCTATTATTCATCCTATCATTATCCAAGCAGATGTGGTGGGGACACTGTTGAAAGTGAGAGACTGGCATTACCACTCCCAGGCCCTTCACATTAGTTTTTCGCTCTACTGCATGGTTGGAATTTGTTTTATACTCCAATCCCATTTTTATTTCCTCAAGCTTTCCATAGTGGAGTAGTTGAAATTTGTCTTCAATGAACTTCATGCTGTTTTCTGAGGCCCATTTAAAGACTTGGTTAATGTCCACTTGGAGGACTGCAGTGTCCTCAATGATGACATTGTCATGTAAATTCTGGTATCAGCAGCAAAGGAGGACACTCATCACTCATTCAATAGCTGTCTTGTCAGAAGATCAGTCATCCATTCATGCCCACAAAACAATTGGTAGATGGAGCTATAACTTCCTGACAAACAGAACACAAAGAGTAATAGTAAAGAGAGTAAAGTCTGAGCAGCTACAGTGAAAAGCTCTATTCCTCAAAGCACAGCACTCACTCATATTCTATTCCTCATCCTCACATCTGACATAGACAAAGATGTAAGCCATAGCTCCACGTCTTCCTTTGCGAATGACACCCGAATTGCCATGACAGTGACCTCCATCGAAGACACTGCAAGACTCAAATGGGCCACTCAAAACAATATGAAGTTCAATGAAGACAAATTTCAACTACTCAGATATGGAAAACTTGAGGAAATTAAAACTGTATCAGGGTACACAAAAAATTCTAACAATACAATAGAGCGAACAAGTAATGTGAAGGACCTGGGAGTGATAATGTCTGAGGATCTCGCCTTCAAAAACCACAACAATGTATCTACCGCATCTGCTAGGAAAATGATAGGATGGATAATGAGGACCTTCAAAACTAAGGATGCCAAACCCACGATGATTCTCTCAAAATCGCTTGTTCTCTCTAGGCTGGAATATTGCTGTACACTAACTGCCCACTTCAAGGCAGGCGAAATTGCTGACCTGGAGAGTAATCAAAGAAATTTCATTGCACACATTTGTACAACAAGGCACCTAAATTATTGGGAATGGTTGAAGTCCTTTGATTTGTATTCCCTGGAATGCAGGTGAGAGATATACATGATAATATATGCTTGGAAAATCCTAGAGGGATTAGTACCAAACTTGCACACGAAAATTACTCCCTATGAAAGCAAAAGACTCGGCAGGAGATGCAACATTTCCCTACTGAAAAGCAGGGGTGCCACGAGTACACAGAGAATACAGTAAGTGTCTGGGGCCCAAGACTGTTCAACTGCTTCCCAACATACGTAAGGGGGATTACCAATAGATCTGTGCAAGTTTGGTACTAATCCCTCTAGGATTTTCCAAGCATATATTATCATGTATATCTCTCACCTGCATTCCAGGGAATACAAATCAAAGGACTTCAACCATTCCCAATAATTTAGGTGCCTTGTTGTACAAATGTGTGCCATGAAATTTCTTTGATTACTCTCCAGGTCAGCAATTTCAATTGTGACCAGGTGTGGACGTATCAGTGATTCATTACTTTGTAATTTGTTCATGACTGTAACCATGTATAGGAGTGAAGCTGATTCATTACCTCTGTAACTTGCCATGATTAGTGACCAGATCTACCTGGAGTTCATTACCTTTGTGACTAGTTCAGCTATCATAACTTTGGGGTCCAGTCACTGGACCCATTATGTACCTTTGTAATCTTTTGTCTACCGCCCACAGGATGGGTATGGGGTGCATAAAGATATTAAACTAAAGAGTGTAAGAGTGTGAGAGAGAGAGAGAGAGAGAGAGAGAGAGAGAGAGAGAGAGAGAGAGAGTGTGAGAGAGAGAGAGAGAGTGTGAGTGAGAGTGAGAGTGAGAGTGTGAGTGAGTGATGTGTGTGTGTGTGTGTGTGTGTTGTGTGTGTGTGTGTGTGTGTGTGTGTGTGTGTGTGTGTGTGTGAGACTCAACAATCAATATTTGCACCAATAACTCATTACAGTTGTGACCGGGTGTGGAAGTGTGAATTGCTCATTACTCTATAATTTGTTCATGATTGTAGCCAAAGTATAAACGTAAGTAACCATTCTACAGAATTCATTACCTTTGTAACTTGTGAGCTCATTACCTTTGTACCTAGTTCAGCTATCAAAACTTTGGGGGCCCAGTCCCTGGACCCATTACGTACTTCTGTAATCTGTAAATACCTTTGTAACTTGTCATGATTGTGACCAGACTTACCGGAGTTCATTACCTTTGTAAATTGTGAGTTCATTACCTTTGTAAATTGTGAGTTCATTACCTTTGTAAATTGTGAGTTCATTGCCTCTGTAACTTGCTCAGCTGTCAAAACTTTGGAGTCCAGTCCCTGGACCAATTATGTACCTCTGTAATCTTTTGACTACCGCCCACAGGATGGGTATGGGGTGCATAATAAACATATTAAACTAACTAAACCAATAGATCCCTGGCTGTCTTCAAGAAGGCACTGGACAAGCACCTAAAGTCAGCACCTGACCAGTCGGGCTGTGGTTTGTATGCCAGTTGTCATGCAGCCAGCAGTAACAGCCTGGTTGATCAGACCCTGATCCACCACAAGGCTAAGGTCTCAGACCGAGCCTCGGGCACTGACCCCCGAAACCCTCTCCAGGTACACTCCAGATGTATGATCTCCAAGATACATACCCGTAACTGATTTCTCAAGATTTTTACCCTTGCAGCCCAGCCTAGGACCAGGCTTTTCTGTTAACTGCCTTTTCAACCAGGCCATTGCAGTTGGAAGCCCACTGGCCAACAGCCATTTTAGCTTGGTTGATCTAGTACTTTACAAAGGTAGAGGTCCGGTATTCTCTTGAAGACTTCTACACCTGTTTTTGCAATGTTTCCAATATCTGCTGGTAGTGGCAATTTAAGCAAATAGTAAAATATTAGCTTAATATATTGGTTATTAAAAGAAAAAAAAAAACTTTCAAATTTTATTGGTATCACATTTTTTTCAATGGGAAATTTTCAGAAAATGATTAAAGGCCCAATCAAGAAATTATAAAGCTCATAATAGGGGTAATCATGCCACCTAAGAGCAATGAAAATAAAAGTAATACTGCAAACTCCTGTGATAAAAAGAAAAATCCCATATTCATACAGGTTAATTTTTTTTTATAAAAGACTAGGTTTCAAGTCATAGGAGTCAGATAATTTCAAAAATGAAAAAGTGAGAATTAAAAATGTTCATTCTCCATTAGAACTTTTTTAAAAAACCTTCAATTTGGATTTTATATCTGATTTACCTTCAAGAACGAAGAAAAGAAACAGTACAGAAGAGAAAAAAGTACTTCAATTTTTTCTTGTATAGTATTTGACAAAATTACACATGGCACAGAAGAATTAGTATTATGCAGAATGTGCCACTTGAAATCAAGGCTAGTTAGAAATTTCACAGCTCAAAACATAAGCTGATAGAGTCTGGAGAAGTCTTAAAGAAACAGAACTACATTCAAAATTTATGTCCAGTAACTAGAAATTGCAAACCAGTTCTATTGTTTTTTTTTTATGTAAAATTATCCATAAAGAATAGTCAAAATTAATTTGAAGAGCAGACTAATTTTTCAGAAAATTCTGATAAAAATGGAAAGCATTACTTACAGTAATAGATGGCATGGGAATACTGACAAGATACAGAGGAAGGGAAGCAGCAATTGGAAACTTCATTTAAGACAATATTTTATCTGTACATCAAGCTTTATCAAGTCTGATCATACCTGTATGTAGCACAACTTATAGGCACAAGACAGGAACAGAGGCAGATGCGAGTACTAAAAATTAAGCAAATATTAGCGAGACATTGGTTGGCAGTTCTTGGCAGTATACTTGGTTTAATATCTGCACAATAAGGTTTTGCCAATTAGGAGCTGCCCCAGTTCTGTGCGACTATGTTTGATGTCATGACTAGAGCAGTTTCATAGAATTTCCTCCTCTTTTTCTCTCCTATTATTACTAATTTAAAAAATTGTAAATATCATCAGGTGGGTGTGTGAATTCTTATGGACATTCATTGCACCTGTTATCAACTTGGGCTATGTACTTATGCTCAATGACTCTTACTTAAGTATCTGGCAGTTTCTCCCACGCAAACTTTGTCACATCCACTACATGGAATTTCGTAGACACCAGCTTCTTCATCTCTGTTATGGAATTGTTTGTGAATCTAGTTGTTGGTTTGGTTCAAAATATTTGTGACATTGTAGGTGATGTCACTTGCAAGGAAAAAATATTCATTAATTTATCTTCTTTTCAGTTTCAAGAAATTTTCTATATTAGGGATGAAAAATGGGTATTACTAATTTCTAAAACTACTCCAGATGGTCTCGCACTCTTCAAGAAAATGGGCTACAGAACCTGTATGCCTATAGGAAACACTTGGTGAATAAGACTTTTCTGTGATGATTGAAAATGAATAAGGTAGTTACAGTATACAGTACCTAAAATGAGCATGAGTCATTGTTTCTATGTATAAAGATGTCCTAAGAGTATTCTGTTATTCCCAGCAGTTTCTACAGTGAACTGAACTGATGGTTTAACTCTTACAAGATTATCCCATAGCTTGTGAAGGTTAAGTTATGCTGGGGTTATTAACAAAATGTTGTTATATCTCATCCTAGACACATTATTAAAAATTAAGTAATCAAGTCTATCAGTTTCCAGCAACCCCACATAAATGTTCCCTAGTACAGCAATTAACAGTGAGCTCATGGCCGTGCACCTGAGCACAAAAGACCAAATGTCTGTTCATCAAGGGATCCAGTGACCAGGTCACAGACATCCTACACCAGCAAGTAAGTGACTACAGTGAAATCCCTCTTCCATAAACAGATTTCACTGAATTTGTGGAATTATGTACTGATTTAAATGTTTCACATATGATGGCACTTGCTACAAACAGTCCTTTAGCATGCCCATGAGCTCAATGTTAAGTGCTCTACTTGGAAATGTAGAAACTGATTGACTTACTAACTTAATTCCTAAAGATGTGCCTTGGATGAGATATGTTGATGACATATTATTAATGGCCTAAGCACAAGCCAATATTCACAGGAGGTTCACAAGATTGTTCAACAGAGCTGAGCCATCAATTAAGTTCACAAACTTCATACATTAGTGGCCACATTACAACACAAAGACAAAAAGGTGTAATGAACAGGGTCTCTCCTACAGATATACAGGATTTGTAGCCTGTGCTTCCTCACTGTGAGACCATCAGGAACATATTTAGGAACTTGCAATATCCAACATTCTTCATCCTTAATTGTAGACAACATGCTAAAAAAATCTTAAAAACACCCACAACTGAGAAGAAAGTAGACTGATATATAATTTTCTGTGTAATGTCTACTCTTACATCAAAGATTCTGAGCCAAGATGATAGGAAGGTAGCCATCGTGACCTACTCTATTATCTCTGCCCTAAGTGGATGCAAAAAAAAAAAAAAAAAAATAACTAACATAGATGAAGCTACAAAATTCCATGTGAGGGCTGCAACAAGATTTACACAGAAGTGCCAGATATTAAAGTAAGCAAGTGACTGAGCATAAGTACGCAGCACAAACTGATAACAGAACAATGCCTGTGTCAACATAGAAATTCATACAACCATCTCAGTAATATCAGAAATAAGAGAGAAAATGCTAAGGAACTTCTCTAATCATGATACTTGAACACAATCACGCAAAACTTCCAAATGGGAAAACTTTTAGCTAATCAGATAATGAACCAGGTATACAGCCATGAACTAGCAACCACTACTGTAGTAGTGGTTGCTAGTGGTGTTTAAAGATTTACACTGCATGGTTTAATATGTCTACTGCTGTGCTACTCTAATATCTGTTTAATTTCATATGTATACACCTGACAACAATCCTGTCTTCTGTCTATAAATTGTGCTACCATCAACCAAGTATGATCTGTCAGACTTGATAAAGCCTGCTATGCAGAAAAAATATTGTCTTAAAGTTCTCAACAGCTGCTTGTCTCTTTATCAACTAAAACATTACTTGTTTGAGTGCCATATCCTGTTTCCTTATTGAAAATAATTTGCTACAACTCTTGTACATGATTACAAAAACATGGTATCATTAGCTCATGTATCACCATATACAATAATGGCAGTATTTACTTTTGATAATTTGTACTTGTACCATACTAAGAAAATGGTTATTTACTGAAGTACTGAACAAATGACAAAACTAAATAAAAAATTTGACTTATTAAACTTTGTGCAGACATCAACTAAAATTTGGGTACAGCATGTCAACCGTCTCACATAGTACTGCCACCTGTGATGAATTAATTAGTTGATAGTGTAAACTGGAAATTAAGTACACAACAGAGTAATCACAGGTGCTTGATATCATACACACCTATGTAACTAAAACCAAATACCCAGCATATAATGAATAGATTGATTACAAAAAAAAAAAAACAGATTACGTAACAGAAATAGAAACAGTGATGACAAATGGATGTTGGGTATATCCTGGGAGTCTCCTACTACTCATACTCCACATGGTAATTGCCAGTGGTGTGAGTAGGCGATTGAGGAGTGAGTGTGGGCCTCACCACTGGTCAGGACACAGGCATGTCAAGACAGCATAGCAATCACCAGTGGCGATGCAAGAATCACTTCTGCACCCATACAGAGGATGGGGGCTGGAAGTTACTTATCCTGCTTTTCACCTCTCGTAACCTTACCTCATCTCTTGCTACTAAGAACTATCACCTGTCAGAATTTCACAGGTAATTTCATTTTTATTTTAAGAAGCTTAGAAACCAGATGGGATCTTCTGTCTAAACCATAATCAGAGTATTACACTACCCAAAAATATTCATTTTTGAGACTATTGACAAACTCTTGGTTTCTGTAAAGCCTAACATGATGTTCTTGCTAATCAAAGCTTTGGTAGCTTATGTAGCAATGAGGTCAGAATGTGATTTAACCACAATAGGTGACTGCTTTGACCTATTCCATGTGCTGCTGCTGCTGCTGCTGCTGCTGTGCCTGCTGTGGGTGCCCTTCTGTTACTCCACTTGCTGTTCTGCTGCTCTGGTGCGCTGCTTCATCGCCTTCATGCGCCAGGGGATCTCTTCAGGTCTGCCATCAGTACGGCTGCAAATAAAAAGTTTAGGTTCAACAATGCTCTACGAATTTTAATGACCCACACTGACTGAATTTATTTTAGTCACTTCTGTAAATATTGATCGACAGAATTAAAGCTAAACTATAATTAAGCCACAAATTACCCCAAAATAAAACAGGGGTGTAATGCTAATACTGTATACAGCTTAAAAGATTACATTTTCCACATTTATGAACATTTTTTTCTTACTTAGTATCTGCTTCCTGCCAAGGCAGGATGAACCAAAGAAAACACATTCTCCATCATTCATTAAACTGCCATCTTTCCAGAAGTGTGACAACATCACAATTGGATTACCCCTCTAACACTCCACTCCTTTTGCAGAGTGAAAGTATTACTATTTAAATAAAAAAAAAAAAATTTGTTAGCAAAACTATTGACTGGGAAAAATACCTTTAAATCTAATAACAGGAAGAAAGGGGGGTTAACATGCCTTTTGCCTCGATCCAACATTTTTAACAAACAGGTAAAATTTATCAATATCTAGAATAATTGAGAGTGTGAAAGTTTTAAATGGTAGGAAGTTGAGTACCTAACAGCCCAGCATGTGCGTGTGCATGTGTGCGCGCGTGCGTACATGTGCGTGGGTGCATGTGCATGCGTGCGCATGCGTGTGTGGGTGCATGCGTGCATGTGCGTGCGTGCGTGCATGCATGTGCGTGCGTGCGTGCATGCATGTGCATACGTGTGTGTGCATGCGTGAACGAGCATGTCAGATATGGTAGAGTGGAAAACAAGTTGTTTTTATGGATATGATGAGCTGTTGGAGAGTGAACAAGGTAACAATTATGAAGGGATTCATGGGAAATGGAGGTGGGAAGCTGAGTGCAAGCTGAAGGGTGGCGAAGTAACAATTCAAAGGATTTTTTTCAATTATCTAGATAGCTATTGAATGAATGATGGTGAATGCATTTCCTCTTTTTGGGTCATGCTACCTTGGCTGATGTTAAAAAAAAAAAGTTAATACTATTATAATTGAGCTGATACAACTTTACTACAGAATCATATTTTTGTCAGTGATATTTAGCTATGGTTATTTTGTAGTGTTTTCTAATGAAATGAATAAATAAAATATTTTAATACAAATAAACAATGTAATGTACTGAGGTGACACTTTTTATGCATCACAGGATATCCAACACTTTCGGTCAGACTGAAAATACTTAGCCTAACCATGTTCTGACTTTACCATATTTAAACCTGAAGACCTTAGGTAAACTATATTTAACTAAGCTAGGGTGAGATATAAGCAACTATTTTCAGAAAGGTGAGCTAGTGCTAGTATAGGTAGTGCGGGGGTTGAAGAGAGGTGGGATAATTTTAAAAATGCAGTGTTAGAATGCGGGTTAGAAGTTTGTGGCTATAGGAAGGTGAGTGCAGGAGGAAAGAGGAGTGATTGGTGGAATGATGAGATAAGAAAGAAAAAGGTAGCTTATGGGAGGTTTTTACAAAGCAGTGATATAAGAAGAGTGGAGTATGTATATAGAGAGTAAAACAAAGGTGAAGAGAGTGGTGAGAGAGTGCAAAAGGAGAGCAAATAATAGTGAGTGAGGTACTGTCAAAAAATTTTGCTGATAAAAAGAAAAAATTTTGAAGTGAGATAAACAGGTGAAGAAAGCATAGGGAATGAGTGGATCTGTCAGTTAAATACAGAGTTGGGGAGTTAGTAGATGGGAAGCTGGAGGTATTGGAAAGATGGTGGGATTATTTTGAGGAATTTTTAAATGTTGATGAAGAAAGTGAGGCGGTGATTTCATGCACTGGCCAGGGGGGTATAACATCTTTAACCCTTAAACTGTCCAAACGCAGATCTACGTTCACCTGCATGGCGCTCCAAATATTTTGAAAAATAAAAAAAACTTTTTTTATTTTTAAATTAAAGAGGGGTATTTTCTGTGTGGTATAAGATCAAAAAAAAAAAATTTAGGACCAGTATTTACTGAGATATAAGACCGTGAAGTTGGCTTTGGATGCCCACCTGATGGCAACAGCCAGTCCTGCTGCTTGCAGAAGTGTTGCCAATTTACCTTTTTTTCTTGTTTTTATTTTAATTTATACAATTTTTATATTCTGATAATTACAATTTATAATAGATTTTATGATTTCATAGCCAATCTTTGTTCTGACACTAATATTATGTACTGAAATAGTACTCAAATTGTAACAATAACACTGACAGGTGAACATTTTTACCTGCCCTGGTCATTTACTATTGTCTAGAAATATATACAAAATATTTATAGGTCCCAGCAATGTTTTAGACATGCTGGAGTATGATACTCCTTGAATGGTGTTATGACAAGGATCAGATAAGTGGCATTTGATGAATGTGCCCTGCTGGAGGGAACCTTGCCTTTATATGTTGTTACTCTTGCACACAAACATGTCTTTGTATGTCTGTCTGTCAGTCTATCTGTACATCTATCTATCTGTCTAGCTCTGCTTATCTGTCTAGTTCTGTTTATCTGTCTTTCTGTCTGCCTGTGTGTCTGTCTTTCCATCTGCTTGTCTGTCTCAGGGAGCGGCTAGTAAACCTGTTGGTTTGTGGTGTATGGGCCGCTCCCCGATTGCTGAGCAAGTGACAACGCTATTATGTGCATCATGTTTATGTCTTATATCTACAAACCAGCTGTATAACACTTGGCCTGAAATTTTTGGGTTATCCTAGGTAATTTACATTATGTATAATAACTGTATTTATAAGTACATGTGAGACACATTGATATAGACAGAGATACAGATAGACAGTGATGGATAGAGATATAGACAGTGATGGATAGAGATATAGACAGATAGAGATACAGAGACAGCCAAAGCCAGCCAGCCAAATACATAAGAACATAAGAAAGAAGGAACACTGCAGCAGGCCTACTGGCCCATGCAAAGCAGGTCCATGTCACCCCCTGGCTTAGACCAATGACCCACCTAGTCAGGTCACATCCAGTGAAAGTAGGAGCATGACATCTGATCTAGTGGCACAAGCTAGTCAGGTCCAACTCACACCCACCCACACCCACTCAACTCATGCATTTATCTAACCTATTTTTACTTTCCTCTTAAAATGTGAGTGTTAATATGACATGACATCAGTGAATCCTTGATGTTTGCCACGATATTTGCTCTAGTTGGCACTCAGTTGAACTGGTGCTCCCACAAGGTACTAAGTGCTCCCAGATTTTTTTCATAGTGCGCACACTGACTGCACAGACCCATTCTTTCATGTCTAGGCGACTCAGGCCTATTGCACCAAATCTGAAGGAATGAAAAATAAAACGTTGATCTACGTTCGGAGCCCACCGCACGTCAACGTATATCTACGTGTGGACAGTTTAAGGGTTAAGGAGTGAAGAAGATCAGGATGTGAGTGTGGGGGAGGTGTGAGCGGCATTATGTAGAATGAAAGGGGATAAAGCAGCTGGAACTGACAGGATTACGACAGACATGTTTAACCCCTAAACGGTTCAAACGTATATATACGTTCTTACCACTAGCGCCCCGAACATATATATACATTTCATTTTTCATTCCTTCAAAATTGGCATGATAGGTCTGAGTCGCCTAGACATTAGAGAATGAGTCTGCGCACTCAGTGTGCAATGTGTGAAAAAAATTGGGGACGCCTGGGTACTGCATGGTAGGACCAGTTACATTCACCTCCATCTTGGGTCAACATCATGGCACATCCTCGTGATTCACTCACGCCTCGTCGTATTAACACTCTACAATTCAAGGAAAGTGATATAGAGCAAGAGTTTAATGGATTTGACACCAATGGGCCACTAATATTCAAAGAAATAGTGAAAATACCGACGATAACCCAGATGACCCTCAGCCCATCAACTCTGGGGTGGCCACACCAGACCCTGGGCCAATCACCTCTAGGGTAGCCAGTGTGACCACAGCATACCCTAGGCCAAGCACTTTTGGGGTGGCCAGTGTGGCCACACAAGACCCTGGGCCAAGCACCTCTGGAGTGGCGAAGTGTTACCCATTGGCAACTTCGCAAGAGGAAACTATCATTTTCCCGGTGAAAGTGATATAAGTGACGATGAGATCGACTTTATGCCATTCAAGGATTTGTCTAGCGATAGTGAAGTTCATTATTCACCAGTGAAGCGTACTTTTAGGTGTCATCGTCTACGTTCAGGCAGTGTGCCATATGCAGTCCCCAAGGGTCGTGGGAGGTCACGATCCAAAACCCCGGCCACTGACAGTGATAGTAATCATTAAGGTGAATATGCAGGGATGGAAGTAGTAGTGGTAGATGGCACAGTGCCTGGACCACATGGCGTGGTGGGTGGACAGACAAAGGACCGCCTGGCACCCCCTCAACCATGTGCTGCCTCCACTCCTGTCCCTCCTCCTGCTCCCCCTTGCCCCATGCCACAGGTCCACCCTGCACCATGTGATCGTGACCGGAACTGGACAAAAAGTATATTTGTGCCACAGTCTTGTGATTTTGATGCGAGTGGAAGTCTACAGAGTTAGACTTTTTCCAGTTATGCTTTGACGAGCCTATAATGAACTTGATAAGTCACCCAGACAAACAATTATTACCGAGATGTCATGGACAACACAGCAGAGGTTGGAGAATCGTCACGGCTGCGCAGGTGGAAAGACAACAGTGGCTGAAATGTATTTATTCCTTGCCACTGTCATGCTTATGCCACATACCTGTAAGAACAATATACGTAACTACTGGTCCACAGACCACTTCATCAGTACTCCAGTCTTCCGTGACCTCCTTCCCTGCAACAGATTCACTCTGTTGCTACGAATGTTGCACTTCTCAGACAGGAATACGCCAAACAGAAATGACCTTCTATACAAAATCCGGGAAGTGTATGTATTTGAAGCAGAAATTCAGTGCATACTTTTATCCCTTCAAGAACATTGTTGTTGAGCCCTTGATTCTGTTCAAGGGACGCCTGTCATACAAGCAATATATACCAAGCAAACATAATCGCTT